TTCTAAGGCTAAGTTTTTTAGAGCGCTCATGAAATACTAGGAGTTGTCCAGGGCCATATGAACACAACCGTGAGAACCGACTTTGTGCGGGAATGAACTGTGTGTTTGCTATTGTCTTGGTTTACATCAACGGCTGAACAGTTCAAGACATCATGTTCACTGGTTAGCCAGTAAATCCGATAATAATATACTAGGGAAGGTTCAAGGCCAAAAGCTATCTATCCCGATGTAGTAACTTTCCAATAGTACTCTCTCTAGTGTATGTTTCTTCTTCATTTGCATTTTTCGCAAATTTCCATTCATGTGGGGGATTGTTGGAAACAGGGACATTAAAAAACATAAACTTTGGATAAGATTTGGAATAGATTCTGTTAAGAATTTTTTGCGGATCTCTGGACGAGCTTGTTTTTCTCCACAAGGAGATAAACGTGGTATATTTACTTTCTCAAATCCGTTTCCGGGTGAATGAAAAATTAGCTCCAAAGTGTGGTGTTTTGATAAGCCTAAATGGGTATGCAAAATGTGGAAAGTGTTTGTCCCACGTGGAAAAAATGTTAAAACCAATTGGAATTTAAATAAGTCAAATTTGGGCTTGGGCTTGGGCCTAATTGTAAAATCCAATTATTGTTTTTACTAAATGGATTTTTGGATTGGGCTGGGCTTATGTAAATGGGTGGTTGGTTTTTTAATTTAAATTAAAAGTTAGTTTTTTTTTTTTTAAAAGGGTTACATCTATTTCCAAAGGGTTGTATCTATTTTCCAAAGAGTTGCATCTATTTCTAAAGGGATGCAACTTGTGATGAACCAACATGACCCATGGTTGCACCCATACCCGAAAAGGCACTTTGCTTCCTATAAATACCCCCTTTTGGGGTCATTTACAATCACACCAAAATTCAGAGAATTTTTCTCTTCTTCTGAATTTTCTTCTTCCTCTTTCTCTCTTTAGTCTGTGGGTTCGAACCTAAGTATTTGGGTTCGAGCCTTAGTCAGTCACTCCGAGTCCGAGTTTGAGTCAGAAAGTACTACACCGAGCCGGTTCGCATATTCTTTTGGTTTGCAGTGCTACTACCGAAGGAAGACAAGTCGTTATATCTTGGGAGATAAACGTCACGAGTCCGTTAGCACTATAGCGAAGCAAATCTGTCTTAAGGATATAGAATAAAATTCTAACCTCGACTTTTAATTAGGTTCCTTTATTTATAGTTTTTTTTTTATTTTATTAAACTATATATTATAAATAATTATATATAGAGATTATTATTTTATAATAATTCAATATATATATATAAACATTATATTTTTACATAATATTTAAATAAATAGTACTATAGTATATAATATACTTAGACCATATTTTGGACAATATATATATATATATATATATATATATATATATAGATCAGTAATATAGTTTTCTTATTAATGTATATTGATTTGATTAACCTGCAGAACGCATTTCCTATGACCAAGCAACTGGAGTATTTCATGCATTACAAGATACATTTGAGACAAGTGGTGGGAGAGAAGAAAGCTGAAGAAATAACCAGCAATGCCCTATTTGTTCTAAGCATGGGCACCAATGATTTCCTCAAAAACTATTACCTTGATTCCTTTCGCTCCGACCAATTCACCATTGAACAGTACCAGAATTATCTCATCTCTTGCATGTCTCGTGCCATCAAGGTCCCCTCTCTCTCTCTCTCACACACACACACACACACACATTTTTTTTTTCTTTTTCTTTTCAATAATAAAAATTTGAGTTATATGTGCATAAGCTGTATCTGTTTTGGTCACAGGAAATGTATCGTCTAGGAGTAAGGAGATTGGCTGTTGTGGGGCTATCCCCATTCGGATGTTCGCCACTTGTCAAAACCCTAAAGGGTGAGACCATCTGTGATGAGAGTTACAACAAAGTTGCCCTCTCATTCAATTCCAAGTTAAAAGCAAAGATGGCCACTCTGAAAAACATCAGAAATTGCTATATAGATGCATACAGTATCATAGAGAGTGCATTACAAAACCCCAAGAAATATGGTTAGTATACAGTAATTTTTATTTCTCCTTGTTTGAACTAAATTTTCTCTGATTCCAACTCCAAAATATAAAATAATTGACCAAATAAAATTTTGAACTTCTTAGTAGGCCAATTTTTGAAAATTGAATCGAGTAATGCCATGTCTGTTTCGGAGGTTGGTTCAACAAGATTGACTGTAGTTTTTGTTCGATTGACAGGTTTCTCAGAAACTAAAAGGGGGTGTTGTGGGACTGGAACTTTTGAATACGCGGATACATGCCGGGGTTTGGATACATGCACAGATCGTACAAAATACATATTCTGGGATGCAGTTCATTTGACAGAAAGCATTTATAAAATCATTGCTGAGGAGGCTATTGAAGCAGTCATTAATAGTCAGCCATAATTGCATGTGTTTCTCTATATATATATATATATGATTCATGCGCGTGATTGCCCAAAAAAAAAAATGTGTGCATGGGCGATCTTTCTAGCTAGTTGTGTTTCTTTTTGTACCATGCTTGAAAATGTTGGCTAGAATAAAAGATGTGATCATGTTTAAGTGCATGCACTTTCAATTCACTGCCTTTTCCTTAAAACTTATGTATTGAGATTTGAATTAAAATCAAACATTCTCAACTGAATTAATCTATATCTCAAGGAAGAAAAATTTTGTGCTTATGTCATGACACAGAAACATCATTAACTTATATTCCTGCAAATGTTGCATACTTCTTTAATTCTATGAGCAACCACAATCTGGTAAAAGTACATCAATTTATTCAAGCAGTACAACTTCATACCATTGCAATGTGTGTGTTTATATATATAGGCACAATTTTGTACTTAAATCAGTATGTTCATACTCGTATATCTGGACTTTGCCCTAAATGGGTTTCACCTAAATGACCTTTTAATAACAAATTATGATCATTATTATTTTACAATTGCGTTGTGGTCTAGTTGTGAGTGGTATATCCTCAACCTCTAGTGGGAATTCAAGTTATCATAAAGACAAATAGATGTGTGAGTTTTGGTAAAAAAAAGTAATAATAATAATAAAAAAAATAAAATAAAAGAAGAAGAAGACAAAACATGTGAGCATCATATTTACATTTTACATTTTTGTAGAAAAACATGTGAGCATTTTGGCAAAACATGTGAGCATTTTGGATCATCATATTTACATTTTTGTAGCAAAACATGTGAGCATTTTGGCAATAATAATAGTTTCGAGTGCCACAGGGATCAAATATGAGCTAGCTCATTTGACAATCAAGGTAGTAAAATACAAAAAAAAAAAAATTAATAAATAAACAAGTCCATCAAGACATTCTTGAATCAAGGTAGTAAAATTCAAACAAGAAGTCAATCAAGATATTCGTGATATCACTAATTTAAGGGGTATCACCGTCAATTAGGATTTCTTGCAGCAATAACATAAGTTTATTCTCCCATGATACATCGAATCCAGATCGCCGCAGCTGAATGACATAATTTTGCGTCAATAACAAGCATATGTGTGTGTAATATATATATATATATATATATATATATATAGCCATCCCCTATTGTCGTTGCCAAAATTATGTTATATAATGAAACGTGTGCTTAGGAACCCATCTAACACTCTTATCTTCCTTAAATCATGGTGGGTATTTTCGAGCCTTAAGGAAATGACCTAAAAGTCAGATTCAGGATCAATGCTACTGACTAGCTGCACAAAAGATTGATGGCATGGAAGTTGTTAAAACCTTTTCTTTTTTTTTTTCTTTTTTCCTTTCACATTTTTTGAATTTCCTTTTTATTTGATCCGGCAATCGAAAGGCACTGAAAACAGAGTTCATACTCATATCATCCAAAAAGAATCAACCACACATATGTAACATATTTCATCGAGATACAACATTGCATTGCAACACCGCTAAATCAAGAATTCAATAACATTTTCCGACTGTGTATTAAATGAGTCCTAATATGAACTACTGTTTGGGTGTAGGTAAAATATGATATCATTTTTTTTTCCCCTGAAAATATGATATCAATTAGGAAGAAAGGAATGTCTTGGAAGAACAGTACCTTTAAGCTTTTAAAACTAGGGTTGCCCTTAGAAACTGGTTTGTTGAGAAACCGTGTGTATCTCCTAAGAAATGACCAAGTAAAGCTCCCTCTACCACTCCCAAATCTTTTTCAAAAGCACACAAGCAATACCCTTGCCAGTACAGCAACTCAAATCAAAGGTCAAACTGGTTTGCATAGACACCCTTACTTTCTGCCATATTTCTACATACATCCCTATTATATATATTTTTCATCCGACCATACAATTTAAATGATTTCACTCGCTATGAGATTCTCGTGCACTGGGCTAGTCCTTAAACTTGATATAAATTTGCAAACTGGTTATAAGTCCCGTTCATATCACCCAGATCGGAGGTGATAAATGAAAAGATCACTTGGATAGTGTAGGTTGAAAAAGTGCAAAATCATACTAAACGAAAACAGAAATATGCTAAACAATGGGGACCAGTGCAAAAATAAATTAAAACTTGAAGTCTTGGCAAGTTTTCCAAATTCTCTGTTTCTTTTCTAATCACCATTAAGTACAGTAAGGATTTCCAATAAAATATACAAAGAACCTAGGTTCTACACTCTCTAATGATTAGCACAACCATACAATTCAACTTATGAACATTAAAATATCAACCTTACCACCTTTCTTAATATCTACGTTCTCAATATTCCCCCTTCAATTCAGCTTCTCAGTTGCTTGCACCACAATTTTCCTACTGTGTTCCCATCCATACATTGAATAGAATACCATTGCTGAGTTGTTACTTATTATCATATAAATTGACGATTGAACAACGCGTCCAGCTTTATTTATATATATATATATATCGAAGATACCATTTTTCTCAATTCCCTCTTGTTCATGTGAATTTGGTAGATTGGATTTTGTGGCATGTGAACAGACAACATGGCTGTAGAGAAGGAGCACCATGCAGGATCGGAAGCGATATTAGAGAAGGTGTGGGTGAATTTCATTGCCAAAACTGAAACAGACGGCGAGACCCAAAAGGCGTCTGAAGTGTCCAATCCATGGGAAGAACTGCCTAGTCTTGATGGTAGAGACGGGTCGATGGAGGTTCTACAAAGGCTACCAAGTCTTGGGAGATGGATATCAATGGGAGCCGATACGTGGGAGGAACTTCTGAATGGAATAGTTCCTCCAAGCAACATGGAAAACTCATGTAGCCTAGACTCAAGTAGCAGCAGAACAAACTTGGGTTTGAAGCCAAATTCCGTTAGAGTTGAACAGAAGGTGATCGCTAAACACTATAGGGGAGTTCGGAGGCGGCCTTGGGGCAAGTACGCCGCAGAGATAAGGGATTCATCGCGAAAAGGGGCTCGAGTTTGGCTAGGGACTTTTGAGACAGCTGAAGAAGCTGCCTTGGCTTATGACAAGGCTGCATTGAGAATTAGGGGTTCCAAGGCACATCTCAACTTCCCACTTGAGACCGTTGCGAACGCCACGGGATTCACTTGTGCAAAAAATAATTTGGAATGTTCACCATCAACATTTCAAGGGAATAACTCTGCTTACCCATTTGTTGGGTGTGGTGAGGTGATTCCTCATCCTCGGAAAAGGGTTTCAAGGGAGTGGGAAGAGGAGGAGTTGTTTGTGTCTGGACAACCAGCATTGAAGAGAAAGGCAAGCATGGAAGAGACATTTGGGAATGATCACTTTGATGTGTTGGAGTTTCAGGATCTTGGAAGTGATTACTTGGAGAGTTTGCTGTCCTGTTTGTGAACAAATTTAGAACAAGGTACTAAAAACAAAAAATGATGCTAATGTGGTGAATAATACTTTCAATATGTATATGTGGCGTAGTGTAATTGTTTTGTTACAAGTATATTACATTGTTGGCCATATGGACTGCCCATGTAGCTATACCTAGCTAGGTGGTTTGAATTCATTTGTAGCAATGAAATAGTTTTGTTGCTCTTGATTAAGGAGATCCGTTCACAATTTACCATCTCTGTTTGTATAGAAGCATCAAATTAAACACACTGTTTTTACCTTAAAGAACTGAATTTTTATTTTTATTTAAGTTGTTGATTAAAATTTGATATTCTTCATCATTTCCACCCAGTTGGGTGGATTTTTTTCTCCTTCCTAATGGAAAAGCGCATGATTGAGGTTTCTTTTTATGTTAACAGAATTTGCGAGCTTTGCAATTGCAAATACGTCTGGGTGTTGAGCCTCATTATTGGTCTGCAGAATCCCAAGGGCTTTGACCAATGGTACCACGAAATGGACCTTTAATTGTTTTAATACTAATAATCATGATGATGATAAGTAACACTCATGTATTTCAATTAGTTGGGTTGCAGAATGATCAAATTCGATAACAATCATGATGTGTCTGGTGAATGGTGAATGTGTGACTTGGGCTCTGTTTGTTTGGACATAAAATATTTTTCAGAAAATATTTTTTTATTTTTTGGTGTTTGGTTGTCGTAAAATATTTATTAAGAAAAAAAAATATTAAAATTTAACAAAAATAATTTATCCATCAATTTTCGGCAAGTTAATTTACATGTCCAGCCCGATAGACTCAACCTCAACCTCGACATAGACCTTTATCAAACACCAACAAAGTAAAAATAAACGAATATTTTACCTTAAAAAAAAAAAAATTCAAAAAGAATATTTTACGTCGAAACAAACGGAGCCTTAGTGGTATATCTATTCCTTCCAAATTGAAAGCTTCTCAAGAACATTGTGGGAGTTCTTTGCCATGACCAAAAGTATACATAAAAATTAAAATTAAAAAATCATGTATTTTTCTTCAAATTATCCATTTTTTTTTGGTAGTGCACGTATATATAGATCACTGCGTTAGATCTGACAAAACCTTCAATTGTGCTCATTCCTTTTGTTTGGCATCAGCTTCATGATTGTTGCCTCGATTCATTTGGTGATTCTTTGTTACCGAATGCAATTTTGTTAATAAGGTCTTTATGTTGTACATTTTGCTATCAAAATTGACAATAAATTTCTCCTGATACGTTTCTGTTTCCATGTTATGTTAGAAACTATGCAGCAGCTTAAAAGTGTAGGTTTTAATATTAAAAGTGATGTTTTGAACTGTTTAGTCTGTGTTATAGTTGATGCTTGTTTGGCTGGTACGTCACTAAACATAATTGTAGTCCAGTAATGATGGTCTTACAATAGATCAAATAAGGTATAAAAATACTACTAACATACTGTAACATGTAAGCTATAAGCAAACGTTTAATTATACAGGAATTATGAATACTCAAATGTCGAAGGTAAATAGTCAAGAGAGTTGAGTGGTATGTATTTGTTTCTCCTCTTTTATTTTTTTTATTTCATTCATGTTTTGTTTCTATAACAAATCGTTGTACCCTTTAGAATGATCAGCTAGATCAATATTTATTTTTACAAAGCTGGAGAGAAGCAATACAGTTCCTTTTATATCTCTTTAACATTTTTAACATCACTAATGATTTCTCATCAGAATTTACAAAACCACCCATCTAATGTAATCATCAAAACTGCAACTAACACAATGTTATCGACCTTCTGTAAAGATATCTGATCCAGAGAGAGAGATGATAGAAGAAGATTGAACCTTTTTAATTTCCTCATGTGTAGGTTGTCCTCTGCCAATGCCCCAACAATACTTAGACCACATTGTTGTTTTCATTCCATCAAGCAAACTTGCATCTATTGCTTCACCCTCAGACTCAGTACCCTCATTGGTTCCCTCCAACGCCTTCACTATTTGCCTCATTGTGGGCCGACTACTAGGATCCGGATTTGCACATAACAATCCCAAATGAAGCACCCTCTCAACTTCCTCTTCACTGTACCCACCCTTGGCCTTTAGCCGCTCATCCAGAGCACTAATCAGTTCCCCTCTCTCCATCAGCCCCGACACCAAGTCAGTCAACCCTAGCTTCCCTTCTTGGATGGAACGTCGCCCACACACCATCTCTAGAACCAAGACCCCAAAACTAAAGACATCGGTTTGAGCCGAGGCACGCCCTGTTCGAACAACTTCAGGTGCCATGTACCCCACAGTGCCAACAACTTGTGTCATGCTAGATAATTCTCCATGATTGTGCACTCTGGCCAATCCAAAATCCCCCAACCTAGCATTCATATCCCTATCGAGTAACACATTGCTTGCCTTAATATCTCTGTGCAAGACTCTGGCTTCCCATCCCTCGTGCAAATACAAGACCCCACAAGCCACATCTTTTAAGATCTTAATCCTCTCTTCCCAACTCAGCACCATACTATCTTCACACCCAAAAAGCCTCTTATCCAAACTCCCATTTTCCATATAATCATACACCAAAATTGAGCTTCTTTGCTCTCTCTTACACCAACCCCTAAATCCTACCAAGTTTTTATGCTTCAACCTACCTAAACTTGAAACCTCAGACATGAATTCCCTCAATCCATGCTCACTTCCGAGCGAAATACGCTTTATGGCCACTTCATCTCCTCCTACCAATACCCCTTTATACACCTTCCCATTCCCACCACGCCCAATTACATTTTTATCTGAAAACCCATTAGTTGCTGCAAAAATCTCTAGATCATCCATCCGATGAGGCCAATATTCCCACTCCCAATCTTCCAATTTCACTGTCCCTTGCCTTTTCTTTCTCTTAAGCAAAACCACAAACACCACAGCTACACATCCAATAACAAACACCCCACCAACACTAACCCCCACGATCAACCCTTTCGAAAGAACAACCGAACCATTCGAAGGAACAGACGATGGCCCAACCCCCGTCACCAAAGCGTCACCGATCGAGAAATTTGAATTGCTAAAGCTCCATGACAAAATCATATAATTTTCAACCAATCGCCCAGTGGCAGCAGTAAAGCCAACATACATTTGATCCAAGAAAACATCAGAAAGATCAATAGAAACGTTAATCAAAGGCTTTTTAGGCTTACCTATGCCCGCCCAACCCATAGTAACGTTAACATGCGAATCAAAATAGTCAATCCACACTTGATACTTGGCACCATTGTTAAGCTTCAATCTCCGAAAGTCTGGATTACCATCACCATCAGAATCCCAACTCCAGAACCCAGCTTCATGAGCGGCAATAGACTTCAGTGAATTCACGTCGACCCCAACATGGTTGTCACTAATATCATCGAACTCCTCGTTCCGGAACACGTCGAACTCGACGGCGAACAAGTGGTTATCTGGGTCGCCATTATTGGTGAAATTTAAGAGACCCAGATTCTGAGATGAACTCGTGCCTTCGATTCCAGTTGTGGGCACAAAAATGAAAGCGAAGCCATGGCCGCCGAGACCGCCACTTCGGTAAGGGGACGGATCGAAAGTGAAAATGAAGGAGGTTGAGAAGGGAAGGAGGTGAGATGAATTTCGGAGTCTAGTGGGTATTGGGTGTGGGTACAGAGCTCGGCCTAGAGAGAAGAAGACGCCATTGGTGAGACTGAGGATTGAAGAATATTGGATTGAGGCGTTGCCGAAGGTGAGGAGTGAGGACGGGTTGAAGCCGTTGAATGTGAAATCGATGGCTGAAACTGAGTAGAAGAAAATTAAAGTGGTCAGAAAGAGGCAGGGGAGAGTTTGGAGAGACATTTGGAGGTGGAGTGAGAGAAGAGACTGTTCAATCTGATTGGATTTTAGGTTTTTTTTCGACACAAGCAGAATTCAAACTTTATAAAGTATTGTTCAAATCCATACAACGTTGAATTTTAAACACATGCAATTCCAACTTTGAAAAATATTATTCAAACCGACCAAAATGTTGAATTCATTTGGATTAACTTGCACAAGTCACTTTTCATGGCGAGAGACGAGAAATTTAAAAGATAAGTACGGAACTTGGAAGCATATAAATTTTTGGAGTTATTTTTACAAGCAAAGTTTAAATCACACAATTCTTTTTAACGGGTCGAAGCCGTTGAATGTGAGATGAATTTCGGAGTCTAGTGGGTATTGGGTGTGGGTACAGAGCTCGGCCTAGAGAGAAGAAGACGCCATTGGTGAGACTGAGGATTGAAGAATATTGGATTGAGGCGTTGCCGAAGGTGAGGAGTGAGGACGGGTTGAAGCCGTTGAATGTGAAATCGATGGCTGAAACTGAGTAGAAGAAAATTAAAGTGGTCAGAAAGAGGCAGGGGAGAGTTTGGAGAGACATTTGGAGGTGGAGTGAGAGAAGAGACTGTTCAATCTGATTGGATTTTAGGTTTTTTTTCGACACAAGCAGAATTCAAACTTTATAAAGTATTGTTCAAATCCATACAACGTTGAATTTTAAACACATGCAATTCCAACTTTGAAAAATATTATTCAAACCGACCAAAATGTTGAATTCATTTGGATTAACTTGCACAAGTCACTTTTCATGGCGAGAGACGAGAAATTTAAAAGATAAGTACGGAACTTGGAAGCATATAAATTTTTGGAGTTATTTTTACAAGCAAAGTTTAAATCACACAATTCTTTTTAACGGGTTGAAGCCGTTGAATGTGAGATGAATTTCGGAGTCTAGTGGGTATTGGGTGTGGGTACAGAGCTCGGCCTAGAGAGAAGAAGACGCCATTGGTGAGACTGAGGATTGAAGAATATTGGATTGAGGCGTTGCCGAAGGTGAGGAGTGAGGACGGGTTGAAGCCGTTGAATGTGAAATCGATGGCTGAAACTGAGTAGAAGAAAATTAAAGTGGTCAGAAAGAGGCAGGGGAGAGTTTGGAGAGACATTTGGAGGTGGAGTGAGAGAAGAGACTGTTCAATCTGATTGGATTTTAGGTTTTTTTTCGACACAAGCAGAATTCAAACTTTATAAAGTATTGTTCAAATCCATACAACGTTGAATTTTAAACACATGCAATTCCAACTTTGAAAAATATTATTCAAACCGACCAAAATGTTGAATTCATTTTGGATTAACTTGCACAAGTCACTTTTCATGGCGAGAGACGAGAAATTTAAAAGATAAGTACGGAACTTGGAAGCATATAAATTTTTGGAGTTATTTTTACAAGCAAAGTTTAAATCACACAATTCTTTTTAACGGGTATTGCTTTTATATTTTAAATGTGTTTCTATTCTCACGCTCCGCGCATATTCTGACTCAAATTCGCACCATTTATGACTTTATTTTTCCGCTCTCGAATTCGCTCTCGCTCTCGCTCCTGTTTTATGTGACTTAAGTCAAAGTCACCTTTTTTACGGTCACGACTTTGAATAAAAAAAAAAATAATGTGTAGATATAAGTCACACAATTTTTCTCAACAGATGTCGCTCTTACGCTTCGAGCGTATTCTTATTCTCACGCTCCGCACGCACTTCCGTTCAAATTTTCACTGCACTCTAACTCTCACTTTATGACTCTTAGGTGTAGATTGGTTATTTGTCCCATCTATTCTCAATATTTTCAACTATTATTTTTGTATATGTGTAAGTATTATTCTTATTATAGTGTCCTGACTTGGTTCTTACAATAAAGGGTATGATGTTTCTGCTAAATGCGTTTGTATGGAGACGGGACTACTCCAAACAAGAAAATGATTAAAACCATGGGTTAATCGGTCCTTAAATGAGTGGGTAACGGAGAATATGGAATGGACATGTGTCACATGCATTCAGGTTTCAAGATGAAAATTAAACCGGACAAGCTGAACTTTTTTTTTTTTTTTTACTTGAATGTGGGATCATGTGTTACAAGTGATGAGTTTGGAAGACATTTAGAGCTCTGTTTGTTTATAAAAATATTTTTTTATTTTTTGGTGTTTAATTGTCGTAAAATTTTATAAAGAAAAAAATATTAAAATTTAATAAAAATAATTTATTCATTAATTTTCAATAAGCTATTTTGCATGCCTCGTCCAATGGACTCGACTTCAATTTTAACGTAAACCTTTACCAAGTATCGACAAAGTAAAAATAAAAAAATATTTTATCTAAAAAAAATTTTTTATGTTGAAACAAACCGAGTTAAGCGGGCACCTAGGCCTTCAAATTTAAAGATGGAAACAAAGTCCATGCAAATAGAAAATGGGTCAGGTCTCACAAAATGACTAAAGTTGATTAATGAACGAGTAAATATTGAATTTTTGGTTTAGTTGCTCGCAAAATGTGGGTCTCTCATGTAAAGCTACTAAAAAGGCCTATGATTCTATGAAGAATAATGATAAGGAGACTGATAAATTAATTCCGAATAAGTATCGAATCTGACGTGTTTTTGTCCACCTTATCTACTTAAACAGTTTCCAAAAATAATTGTTTAACCCGTGATAAGAATGACCAACCATGTAAAATTGATACTAATTCGGTGATTCCTTTTCGGTTCCCCTATCATTATTCTAATTTAAAACTTCTATAATAAGTCCGCTTATCTTCTTTCCTCGTATTTGGATGAATGAAAATTTGTAAAAAATGAAGGATGACTCATTTATCAAATTATTCTTTCTTTTTTTATATCATCTATACGAAATGAAAAAGTTTGTTCCTTTTTTCTCTATTTTTCTTCTACCACTCTTCCTTCCTTTCCATCTAACAAAGCATTAGGGTTTTTGTGTTGAAAAATTATTCCTCTGGGATACAATATTTAGGTTAAACAATTCATTAATTTGATTACAAGTCAAGTAGTTAAACTGTATTATGCTTGAAAAATTAGATTGTTCCATGAGTTGGGTTTGTGAATTGGAAATAAAAAGAATTTATTTTTCACCGTGGTTGTGATTATTAGCTATACTATTTAAGGCCCATTTTGTAGTAATACAGGCCGAAACTATTGAACATTTTAAGCCCAATATGGTCCATCAACCATATATATAATTGCATTACTTTCACTTTAACAAGTTGAGAAGATATTATTAGACTGTTATCATCCTATTTAAGGCCCATTTTATCATAAAATGGGCAAATACCTTGGAATTCGTCACCCCAATAGTGAAGCCCATCACCCTGGCCTACGTGCAATTGGCAGCTTAAGCTTCTATTAAAAGGAAATTTCAATCTTGGGCTTTTCCACCGTGTTAGAGAAAAAGGCTACGCCCAACAAATGCTTCTTTAGTCCATTAAATGTCATCTAATGATGGATTGGAATTTAAGCTTTGGCTCAATGCGATTTTGGAAGTGTGCGGGCATGTCAAAGTCTCAAAAGACTCAAGATTAATCGAACAAAAGTTATCTTTTTAAATCGATCAGCGATTGTGTAAGGGAAGGATAAAAAAACTCCTAACGGTCCTTTTATGCCTTTAATGAAAAGACTTCCAACATCTAAGATTACAATGTAAACTAAGCGTGAAAGTAGGTACGGATTTGTGAAGGGCTCAGTGAGGGCATCCGCCCGCACTGAAATTTTTTAGTATTACATTTTACACTTCTAAATTTATATTTTCTTACATTTATATTCATAAAATTTTAAAATTGTCCCCACTAAAATTATGAAAAAAAAACCCTCTATATAAATTTGCCCTCTCATATGAATTTATAGATCCGTTCTTGCGTTACAGGGCTTTCAAATGTTGCCCCAAGTATTGTATTCATAGAAGAGTAATAATAGGGGAACCGAAAAGGAATTACCAAATTAGTATCGAATTTGACGTGGTTGGTCATTCTTATTACGTGTTAAATAATTATTTTTGGAAACTGTTTAAGTAAATAAGGTGGACAAAAACACGTTAAATTCGATACTTATTCGGAGTTAATTTATCGGTCTCCCTATCATTATTCTTTTAAATTATCATCCTTTAGAAAATATTTAATAAAATTTTAAAAATAAAGTAAGTGATGATTTTAATGAAAAAAACAACTTTCCTTTTATCCTATCTATTAAAGTAAATTATCAGTTTCTTATCTTTTATTTTAGTCATCCGAACGAAAAGAGGAAAGAACTATGGATGTCTTATTCATCCTTTCTTTTCCTCTCCTTCTATCTAATTTTCTTCTTTCCTTCCGAATGAAACATAAATAATGCATTTAGAGACAACAAAAAATTCATTCATATGCCCCTTCCAAAAAAATAAATAAGTAAAATGCCTTCAAAGCTGTAAGGAGATACATGTCATAACATAACAAGATCACTGTAAAATGGTTCAATTTGGAATTAGATTAATTGATTGTTTTTTGTTTTATTTTTCTAAAAGTATAAAGGGTAGGTGTCACATTAATACTATTGTTTTTTCTATATGAATTTATATATCAAATTGTCTTTCTATCATGTCACTCTTAAGCAATAAAATATAAACTACTTGTGATTTTTTGCGTAATTCTCTCTTGGAGATGTGTATATGGTGGTCGGTGCAAAATAAGAGTCCATATGGGACACCATTTCTTTATTCTACTAGAAAATATAACTTTACAAGTCAATACTTTTATTTTTATTTTTATTTTTATTTTTATTTTTTCAAACTTTACAAGTCAATGAAATGCCACGATTTGGATTAAGAGCAATCCACAGCCCACCAATTATTTGACCATATATTAAACAATCATACTTGCACGTGGTCTTAATGTTTCAAAGGAATTGATCAATTGAGGACTTCTTTGTATTTCCAAATTGATTTGGACCATATTAGATTATCCATATTTGTTAAATCATGCCCATCAAATTATTGTTTATTGAGCTGTCTTCAGTGGAAAAAATAAACGTAGAAGGTTTAAGTCCCCAAAGACTTTTTTTAGTTAATTATTGTTGTGTTTTTTACCTAAAAAAAATGGAAATGAAAAAAAGAAAGTAACAATTTTAGGTAAATAACAAAATATTTGAAAAATATATAATTTAGGTAAATAACAACTTGATAAATAACAAAAGTAACAATTTTATCTTTCTACTTTTTTTTTTTCTTTTTTGTTTTGTGCTTTTAACCCAAACTAAAAAACTGAAAAATAGATTGTTTGTTTGCAAGGCCTTTTAGTTCGTCGTTATAACGTAAACTTTGAATATTTGTATTTATTCACAAATCACAAATAGGGTAAAGTGCAAATAACCCCCTGTACTATTGACAAATTGCAACTAACCCCCCTAAACTAAAAAAACCCCCCTAAACTATGAATTTGTTGCATTTCAGTCCATTCCGGTGACTGACTTAACCGGAAAAATAAAAAGTCTGAATTGCCCTTATGATTATTCACTACTGTATAAGGTATATAAATATATATGCGTTTATATATATATATATATATATATATATATATATATATATATATATGTTTCTGGTTTTAAACTGAATTTATATATATGTGTTTATATATATATATAACATTGGAGATTGAAGAGAGAGAGAAGCATCAGGCTGGAGATTGAATCATGAAGAAAATGAAGGAAAAATATGGTGGCGGCGGCGGCGGCGATTATGGTGACGGAAGAGGAGGTAAGTCGGCGATTATGGTGACGATGCGGAGTCGACGCGTCAAAACCCAAATCATCCTCGTCGCCGCTGGGATCTCGCTGCCGTCATCTCCTGCGCCTGCCCCGCCACCGTCTCTTGCGGTGACAGCTGGAACGAGCTCGGATGGTGGAGAGGACCGGCGAGCAAGGTGGGCTGAACGGCAATAGGCTGGTTCGGCCATGGTTAACTCGCGGCGATGGGCTAGTTGCGGCTTAGCTGCACAGCGGCCGAGCTTTGCCTCATCTGCCAACCTCCCTGTTCCGATCGGGACGGTCACCCACTTCTCGTTTTCATCAACCCCAAATTACTCCGCAATCATTCTCCACAAGTGCTTCCACTTGAACAGATCGCCGTTGCTGCAATTGAAAGCTTCGTTGCTCGCATACGGATCCATCGCCGCCCATACTAGTGCTCCGCTATCAGACCGGAATCCGACGCCACCGAGTAGCAGTTCCATGCCGCCTTCGTTCCCGAGGGAGAACCAGAGATTATGATTGAAGGGGGTGATGGCAGTGGGTT